ATTACATATAAGGGTCTTTTATCTTTTTTTCCCTAATCGTCCTTCACCATAACTTCACATAAACATCCTTCTTCAAACCTATGTCTTACCTTTCTGTGCCCCGCATAGCCTTTGTCCCGATACATACAGCGTAACAAATATCAATAACAGGACCAGCAAGACAGCCATGGTGAGCAAACAAGCGATCTTCCAGTGAGTAGCTCTTACCCACCCCCTGTTAGTCTTCTGTCGCTGTTCTTCATCAATAAACAATGGTTCCATTCTGAAACGTAACGAGATGTTTACCTTGGTTTTATTAAACGTACGCAATACCAAAAGGAAATATAACAAAAAAGGATTCCTGATCGCAGGTTGGTGAAAAATTTCGAGTTCTGTATGTAATTTTCGCATTTGAAAATGAAAGTATTAAGTGTGTCAAATTCACGAGTTTGCTCACAGAGCACTTTGATTTTTAACAAATTCCACTATTTGCCGTTTTTATATCCAAGAATCGAAACGGCAATTGCAAACTTCGTGCACCACTATCACAAAGAGTTTTAACCCTTCACTTCTACCATAAGCAGACGTTAAATTGATCAAAATCCGAAATTCATAACTTGTTGACACGCTTGGAGAATTGATACTATTTTCTTTAGTGCAGGGGGCGGCTGTTCACAGACTAGGGTGTTGCCGTCGCTGATTTTTTCTTTTTTCTTCCAATCGAAAGTTGATGTGAAACGGAATTAGTCATTCTGTAGGCTGTGTTATAAAAGATTAACGTATCAAATTACCGACACTATGCGGCCAACAGCCCTTTATACTGACACGGCACTCGCCAGCTTTATATTGGTAATACAGAAGTTTGAGTCACCTATCACAGACAATCCAAGTTGGTTAAAATCTTCATTGGCAAGTCATTCCGGCAAAATTCTCTAATGCCGCTCATTGCATTCGAATAAAAAAGAGCTAGACAACCGAATGCGTTACTAACATACTGTTTTTGCGAATAGTTCCCCTATTAAGACAGTTTTTTTCAGAGTTGCAAAAAACATAACTGTTGGGAATTAGATAATTGCCTGACAACACAATGTTTTTCCCGATAAACTC